TCAATTGCTTTCCCTGAAATAAAGTAGAACTAAACAAAAATTAAATAAATCTAAAAGAAGTTGATTCCCTGAAATGTATGGCAGTAAAAATGAGCAATTTCGTGCTTTTTAATACTTTTTCTTCTTTAAAAAAAAATTAAATTAAAATAAAACACCGGTTTGTTGTACAGATAGCACGATTTTCTTTCAAAAAGAAAAGAAAAATGAAAAGAAAAATAAATAAATAAAATAAAAAATAAAAACTTAACTTAAGTAAAGCTCTTAGAGAAAGTGATGTAACATATAAAAAGTAAGCAGAATAGCACAGAAATACTTACAAACTATATAAAAAAAGTAATAATAAATAGGAAAAGAAAATGTACAAAAGGTGCTGTATATGGCACTCAAACTAAATACTAAACAAAACAAAAAATAAAATAAAAACTCCCTGAATTGTTAATATCATACAAATATTCTGAATATATACAAAATAGATTGTATTTGATACATTTTTTCTTATGTTGAATAAATAACCTTTAAGGATAATAAATATTTGATTTATATTTCGTACGGTTTTGTAGAGTATTTTTGATTTTTTTTCAAAACTTAATTTTAAGAAGAAAAAAATTCTGGCACTTGTTTTTTATACACTAAAAAAATAAAAGCTAATATTTTTTTTTTAATATTGACAAATAGACACTAGTTATGGCATAAAAAGGTACTAGAATACATATCATATAATTATCAATAATAATATAAAAATGTCTTAAGGCACAGTTTTCTTTTTTTTAACTCTTTCTTATAAGTAGGCACAAGATAATTGTCTTTTTTTTATTCAAAAAATAAACTTTAAATATAAAATAAATGTTTGTACTTGATTTCAAAAAGATCGTTACTTATTATATTTTTTGAGCTTGGTCTTTTGGAAATTTTTGATCAAAATTTTCATTATTTTTCAGTCTTAGGTTGTCTTTTTATTTATTTGTGATGTGTTGGTTATTATTATTACTACTATTTATTATTATTTTTTTTTTTTTTTTTATTTTATTTTACGAGGGTTCGCAACAGCAGAGGTTATATCAACCCTCGGGGTGCCGGTGTTTTTGAAAAAAAGCCCATTTGTAAGTATGTCGGGTTCGAATGCAGGGCCGCTGGATTCGAACCCAGGACCTTTACCTTATAGTGATGAGCGCCGTGTCAACGCCTAAACCGTTGCGGCCACCGACGCCCCTACTACTATTACTAATTAATTATATCAGATGCAGTGAAAATTAACTTTTTTGAGGAAGGCAGTTTTAAACTTTTTGGCAAGGCAACGAATAATGTGACTACGCACTGGGAAATTTTTTTTTTTTAATCCGCAGCTCTTGTATGATCCCCTCTCAAAAAACTATTTTCATATGGCAATTTTTTAAATGTAATTACAACCCTTAAATGCCTGCATTTCAGTCAAAAATCTTATACTGAGCGGATTATCTTATAAAGTAAACACTAAAAAACAAAAGAAAACATTAAATTAAAAACAAAAAGAAGCTTCCTATTTTGTACGGCCTGAGGTATAAATAAAGACTAAAATATAAAAAAATTTAGACTCCCCAATTGAGTATTTTTTGTTCAAATTCATAATTGTATATAAAAAAGATATCTTTTGTTTCCTAAGGGGAGATCCTGGTGCTATTGGCACAAAACGCACTGGGCTCGATTACTTTTGTTTTTAATTATTAAAGAAATTAAATAATTAAAAATCTTTCCTTATGGAACGAATTCCTTCTCCTCCTTGAGAGTACGTTCGTTCATTTCTAGAAGGTCGAGCTTTTCTCGGTGCATCCTTTCTATGTGTCGTGCGACGTGCATTTTCTGTTTTGCCCTGTAGTTACAGTACGGACACTGGAACTGAGGCTCTTTCCCACATTCCCACTTTTGGTGATTCCTGAGTGAGCTTTTGAGTTTGTAATGCCTCCCGCACTTCGTACACTCGACACCATCACCTCCTGTGTAACCACCTGTAATTAAAAATTAAAAGAATAAATAAAATATTTCAGAATTTAATTCGAATTCACTAAATTGTACACGGTTTGAACTGAAAAGACAGTTTGCATTTGAACATTTTTGACGGACTAAATATGTAATGTTTTAATTGATCAAATTTCACAATTTCTTTTTGAACTCATTAATAATTTTTATTTTTTGAATATAAGTTGATGTACGACTGCTTACCTGAGGTATTGAGGGCGGATTTGAGAAACGCCGGCTGCATGGAAGCCCAAAGATCCCAAGACGCCAGGGGCAAAGGGTTCAAATATTTCATACCTGGAAAATGAAATTCAAAAGAGGGTTGATGATATTCTAAATTTCTTCCATTAAAATGATTTTTTTAAAAGTATGTTTGTTTTCTTTTTTCAGTAAGAAAAAAGATTTCAGAAACCTTTCATGCCTAAGTCTTGGATTTTCTTTTACTCTTTTCTCTCATCTAGGCATTCCATGCAAGAAAGGACATGCAGAAGTAGAAAAAAAAAGATAATTAACAAATTTTTCAAAGAGAATAATTACCATAGCCAATTTTTTAAAAATATACGTATATAAAAAAACTGTTTTTTCTTCCTATTTTATTTGTTTAATTTATATATTCAAATAAAAAGAAAAGACCTTTTTTTAAATTAAAAAATAAATAAATAAAAATAAAAGAAGGGGTATTGAAATGTTTTAATTTTGAAACAAAAATCAAACTGGTACAAAAGAAATGAAAAATAAGCAAGAAAAAAGAGCTACGTTAAGAATTCACTACTTGTAAAAGATTTTTAAATGGGCTGGGAAAACTATAAAAATAATAATAAAATGATAAATATTTATAAAGAAAAACACGTTTTTTCATAATTGAAATAATGTATTTGACAAGTACATAAAATATATTTATGGAATCTTCTATCTTCTTTCTTTCTTTTCCCACCAGTCTTTTCTGAAAAAAAAAGAAAAAATCCAAATTAGCATATGTCCTTTTGAATTGTGATGCGATTGAAAATCAACTTACACATTTGCTCATAGAGACGCAACTTGGTTCCACCTTAATAAAAATCAACAAGCACGTCAAACCGTGTATCATTTGGATTGTCAAAGACGAGGAGACGGATAGAAAAATGTGAGCAATTTTTTTTATCCCACCAGTAGATGGATAAAATAAACTTTTTCTGATGGACCAAACAATTTTTTTTTCATTTTTATTAAAAATAAGTAGAGTTACAATGCTTTTAAAAAATTAGTCTTATTACTTTATTATTATTATTTTTTAAGAGAAGGCAACTTTAATCACAGTAGATATTGTTATATATAATTTTTTTATAACACTTAAGTACTATAATAGAGAGGAAGACTTAACTTTTATTAATTTAAGGCACATTGATTCCTCAAGGCGAATTATTTACAACAAATGATAAACATAAGGATACAAAAAAATTAATAAATCAAAAAAAGAACATGATTTTAACATGTAAAATTACATAATATTATTTTATGTATACGTATATATATTTTTTATTTGCAAAAAAATATATATATTAAAAAACATTAAATCTAATGTTTGTTTTTACAAAAAAAAAAAAGGCATGGAAAGACGATATAATTTCAGTTTTGTCAAATAAAAAATGAAGTAAAACTACAAATTACATGGTCGTAGTTAGAAAATGGGAATGTTGGGATTGAGTGGGAGGCGAGACAGGTGCTGAATCTTGTTTAGTCAAAGTAGCGATGGCCATCAAATCGAGCATATCCTTATGCTGACGCTGCATATGCCTCATGTGGTGCGACTTCCTTTTGCACCGTTGGGGGCAGAAGGGACACTGGAACATCGGATCTTTCCCGCATTCCCAGAGCGTGTGTCTCTGGAGAGAATCCTTCCTCACGTACGTCCGTCCGCACTTTTCGCAAGGGAACACCCCGTGGTTACGTTTGTTCGACTTTCGTTTCACGTCCAAGTTCTCCCTTTGCGACATCGTCTCTGCGAACATATATATTCGTCGAGTCAGACCCACACAAAGTCACGAATGCTTTCTGATTCTTGCTTTTATTTTAATTTTTTTTTTAAAGATATTTTTTCTGTTTTCCTTACTAAACCTCAACCCAAAAAAATAATAAAATAAAAATGCATGCAGAAACAATCAAATTAATAAATACTAAAGGAGTGGTCAGGCATGCATAAAGAAAAACTCGTTAAATTTAGTAATTTATTATTTTTTTCTTTCATTACTTTTTTAACTTTTTTTTTTTTTTTAATTTTTAACTAAGTACCCATACAAGACAAAACTACTAGGGGAAAATACTCCTTATTTTGGCATGTTAAAAACTTCGACAGATGTATGCCGGAGGCCTATGTGCCGCAATAAATTGTGCTTGTGCTTCGAACGATAGGGGCAAGACTGACAAGAGTACCCGGCCTCTTTTCCACACTCCAACCTCCGGTGTCTCTCGAGGTTGTGCACATAACGGTAACTCCGCCCGCAGCCATTGCAATAATGCCTGTTTATCCAACTCAATCCGGAAGACAACTTTGTCAGGAAATCTAAAAAGAAAACAACTTAAATCATTCACAGGGAGAAAAGTGGTAACTTTCGTTTAAAATGGGGGAGGGGGTTGAATTCTTTATTACTAAGGTATGGAGTGTTTAAAAAAATAAACTAAAATTAATTTTTTTTAAATGACGTCGACTACCCTGTTTTGTTTCTGCTTAAATCTGAAAAAAGAAAAAAAGAATTAACCAAAGATCACTTTTAACTGTAATTATTAATTTTTTAATAATTACAACTTACCCATTTATTTCTTGCTGTCTATAAAAATGTTAAAAATATTTTACAATTAAAAAATAAACACCTGTTTGTTTCGTATAATTTTAGCATTAAAATGCAACACTTTATAATGTTGCATTGTTCAACAGATTAACTTAGTAAAAAAAAATTAAGACTTTTTAAAAAATAGATACTAAAAATAAAAAAAATAATAAAACTGCAAATTAGGTTGAACACAATAACAAATTAAAACAACAAATTTTATTCTTTTACCAACAAATATATTTCTAACAATAAAATTCAAATAGTATAATAAAATTCATAAGCCACTAATATAAAGTTGTATCTTTCTAATAAATTTCCTTTTTTTATTTTTTGACTGAGCAATAAGAGCATTTTTTTCGAATTTCCCTGTCTGTTTTATATACAATGACTTAAAAAATTGCTTACTTAGGAACTTCTATTTCCACTTTGGTGTTTACACAAAAACAAAAAAACAAAAAAAAAATAGTTTACATTAAACCTGTTGGTGAATTATCAAAACATTACTCCTCTGATTGAGTTAAGGGTAGTACTTGGTTTGTACTACAAAAGAAGACTGGAGGATCACAATATTTTCGGTTATTCCACTAACATGTAACAATGTATATATAATATATAATTTAAAAAATGGTCCCTAATTTTTTTTTCATATTTTTTATTTATTTAAATGAACTCTTTATAGACTAAACTACTAAAAAATATAATTATATTTCATTTAAAAATATTGCATTTTCTTGCGTCTAATAACTAATACCTTGTCTTTGATCCCTAATTAAATGTTAAAAACAAAGCACTATTATTTGGCAATATTTGTACTTGAGAGTATAAATTTACTATAGTTCAATTTTAAAATAAAATCTAAATTTAAGCATTACAAAGAGTATTGGCAGTACCTGAAAAATAAAGCTTTTTACTTTTCTTGACAAAAAAGAAATTTCTTGTATCTCAAAAATTTAAAAAGGAACTAAACTTAAAAAGAAAATCCTAAACTTAAAAACACTACCTCTAAAACAAAATTGAATCCCGAAAAAAGAATAAAAAGACAACCCAAAATTAACTAAAACTAAACTTTAAAAAGAAAAAAAAAATCTACGCATATAATGGAAAAAAACAAAGGACGTATACAATATAAACCAAAAAAAGCATTATCTGAAATAAAATTTATATATAAAAAATTTCAAAAAAATCAACAAAGAAATTAGATTTCTATAATTTCCAAAAACCGCATAAATAACGAAAAAGCCCACTCATGAAAATGTCCACAACATGGTGACTTACAAGACAGATTCACGAAATAAGCTTAAATAAAAACATTTAAAAGATTTTTTTTTTTTAAAGGTAACTACAATAAAAAGCAAATTATAAGCTGTTTGGTATAAATGTAAGGAATATACAAATAAATAAAAACTCTATGAAATATAGACATACATAGACCTAGGAGGTGGTGGAATAACAATGGAAGATAGTTTCTTTTTTTAATATTTAGGCCGAGAACTTGTCTTTAGCACCTTTAAATTACCAAATATGTTTTCTCCCATTAACATACTAAATTATTGAGCAAAGTTATTGTATACAGTGTTGACTTTGATGTAGGAACTAAAAAGGACATTTCTGGTATACATAAAGAGGTATTTAAATTATAAGACATAATAAAACCAACATGATGCTTTTTCAGACAGCATAGCCAACATTTGGATAAGGCACTTTTGGTGAGTATCAAAAGCAAAATCTAATGCCATGAGCTGCACCCTCATTTAAAACCATAGGCAATCAAGTACATTAAATAAAACTTGAAAACTTTTTAGACTGAAAAAAAAAATTATAGAAGTAGATGTAACTTTGTAAGTTACAAAATAATTTTTTTAATGAAAGTATACTCCACATATAAAAAAGAAAATCAGAAGAAAAAAAACTGAAAACAAAAGAAAAAGCATCATAATAAAATATCAGATCTGCGCGGTTTTTTGTTCATCAGTTTCCCCAAGAGAAATTTTCCAGTTTAGTGTTACCAAGGTGGCTGGATATGCTCGGGTTTGTGTGCTCGAGCGATGTGCAGCATGAGGTTATAGCGTTGTTTGGTCTTGCGAGGACAGTAGGGGCAGTGGAACTGAGGCTCTTTTCCACACTCGAGACGTATATGTCGCCGGAGGGTGTGCTGAGATGAATAGCACTTGTGGCATGTCGGGCATGAGATGCTGCGTGACGTCGATCCTCCCCGGCCTCCACTCCCTCCTACAGTGGACGATCCGCCTGAACCACCCTTGATCGATTGCAAAAGAGGCCGGGCTAGCAACATCCTCTGCTCTGTAAAAACAACACAGAGCCAATGTATAAATTTCAGATTGTTCTTCCTTCCCCTCTTTAATTTTTGTGTGTGTTAAAATTTTAGCTGTTTTTCTTTCTCTTGTATATGTATTTCTTTCTCTATCAAAGCTTTTTTAAAACATCTTCTTTAATTCATCACAAGGAATTTTTTCTCTCGAGCATTTAGTTTTGTTAGTGTTTTTAATCATTAAAAAAATAAAAAATAAACAAAAAAAGCACAAAACATTCACAAGGTCACAAACCACAAGTGGCCAAGCTATTAAGCAAGTTTTTCTTGTCGTAATCAGTATGTATCTAGTTAAACACAATTTTAAATATTCCGACAATATCTAGTACAAAATATGTTTACAAATGTCGAGAATTAATCTAAGCAGGTGTGAAATGTGACATTTTGACTCTTTCTGTATTAATATTTATTAAATGAAATAATCATTAAACAAACTTTGGCGAAAAATGTCAAATAATGAACATTATCTGTTGGTTATTGTATAATCGTTTCAAAACTTTTCTGTACCATGCCCAGTTTGAAGTAACATTCACTTTGCCTCACTGTCGCTTCATGAAAACAGTATCAACAGCAAACACGACATTTATTTTAATCTTTAATTTATTTTATTTTTTATCTCAACCAATACCTTACATAAAGATAAATTAATTAAAATAAGTTATTTGGTCAATCGGACCACGAAATCTAATGGATTTATTTTAATTTTACAGCCAAATTTTAATAATAAAAACTGCCAATAGGCAAATAAATTTAAGTTAAAAAAATGTACAATTTTAATTCAGCAGTTAAGTCATGTGGGCTTGTATTTTTCATTCTAACTGTAAATACTGGGTAGGTTTTCAAAAAATCGAATAAATCTTCTATTATGAGCATTATAAAAATGGACAGAGGTCAACATCCTTTTGACTAAAATGATAGTCCTGGATTAAATTGGGAATAAAATAAAATAATGACATTACGAAATATCAATGACAATGACAGTAGAATCAAATAACAGGATACACAACTATAGAAGAACCAATTTTAAATATTTAAATTATATAATTTTTAAATTTAATAAAAAAATCAAGGTGTTAAAGATTATTAGCTTAGATTTCTGCTGAATTTTTCGGTTTAATCATTAAAATATTTATTGCACTAACACCGTTTTGTAATAGTGTGTTGGTAAAAAAACCTAATAGTTCTATAATCAACAATAAAAAATAAAATAAAATTTTCCTTGCTATGAACAAAAAGAAGGGTAAAACAACATTTAATTAAAATAATTGAAAATGTAATTACTGTCAATAAATTAACAAAACTGGAATAATATTTATTTTACATCAATTTTTTTTTTTTAAATAACATTGTGAAAAAATGGAGTTATTGTTTGATGCCAAGATAAAATCTTCAGAATGTTTAATGAGTTAAAAAAAATTAAAAGCTGTGGTTTTATAGTCAGTCAATGAAATTTTTAAACTGACATTTACTTTTCCATAAGAAATGTTATGTTTTAATACATATTTCATGTATTAAATATCTTTAGCTTTGCTTTAGTATGAAATGAAAGCAGAATATACTTTCTCACACGTAGCTATAAATAAGCTAAGAAAGGAAAAACAATGTGTGCGCAAGCAACTTTTTCTTATTGTTCTTAAGCATTTCTGTCTTTTTTATAATGATGTGTATATATTCATAAATTACATTTTCCTATAATTTAAACTTTAAAAACCTCATGGATATGTACTTTTCAAACTTGTAATTTTTTGTTCGTTTGAATTTAAAATAAAAATTCCTTGTAATGAAAAATATTTACTTTGATTTTAATTTAAAACCAAAGATAAAAACAAAAATTCAACCAGTAAATTAAAGCTCTTTTCATATCTCCACAGCATCCAAATAAAAATTTAAATATGTAAAATCATGCTCACCCTTTTCTTTTCACATTTGTTTTGTAAATTCTGGTTTTCTTTTATTTTTCATTAACAAAAATAAATAATAAAAATATGTAATCAGCAAGTGTATATACAAACTGCTCACTAAAAATACACAAAAAAAGGACAAAACCCACGGAGTTTTTGAGTTTGTTATTTACATCTCCCCCAAAACGGTTTTTCCCCTTGTCTTTTTGACAAGAATGGAAAAATAAAAAAATAATGCAGCAGTGACAAACAAAAGCCCTTTTCAAACGTGACAACTTTCACATATCAAAGCGGTTGCACCTCAAGATGAAATAAAACAAAAAGCTTTGTTTCTGAAAGCAATCGTGATATTGGAGACACTCTCGCTGAAAAAAAAAAAAAAAACCTTCATGCGCATGCACCTTTCTTAACTTTAAACAACTTTTCAACAATAATTTTCCAATTTCATGATATATTCCAAATTATTTATATAAACATTCTTAATAGCTTATGTATTGATAATCTTAAATTTTAGAAAAAAAAAAACACTCGTATTATTATAATTGTAATAATATTATCATATAACAGTAATGACAATCATGATCGCTATCAAGTAGATATTTCAAGACGTAATAAAATATCCGCTACTTTTTTTAATACAAATTTGTTTATTAGTGAAGGTAAATGCATACTTTGTGCACATGTATGTGACTCATATTTGAGAATTGTGCAATACATCTTAAAAGCTTATTTTCACGTCTTTTAACTTTAAAAAATTAAAAAATGCTTTAATATGTCAAGAGGCCCCTTATTTGTTCTTTTTTTCAAACAAGGAGATAAACAAGAGATAAACATTACTTCCCATTTTTTAAAAGAAAATTTCCGTTGATTTTCACAAGCAAACATCAATTAAAAAGTAGTCTGGGCTCTCACTTATCTATGGAATTTTATTTACTTAAATTCTTTATTAATAAAACTTGATTGTGGTGTGCCCAGAATACATGAGTTTGATTTTCTCTCTCTCAATAATATATATTTTTAACTATCTTTTTAGGGTTTCATAGACTATAGTTAGTTTTCAATTATAATTACTAATTGTGATACAGTATTATTGATTGTATTAATTGTAATACTATTCCTATTTATTGAAAATACTTGTGTTGTATAGAGATGATCAAGACGTGTAATAATTATTGTTCCTCCTATTTTTGTACTAATGATCTTATCATCATTATCTCTTTAACGATAAGCATATATACATATATTTATATACATTGAATTAATAAGATTAAAATAAATTTTAACTTAATTAATTATACTTTTTATCTAAGGTCTTGGTTGAGATGAAAAAGCTAGTGTCACGAGCAGGATTCAGGGAACATCAAGACCTTACACAAAATGTATAATTAATTAAAATAATGCAGTCAATTATGACTATTAAATACATATAGACTTCTAACAAATAAATTAACCAAACTGAATAAAAATTAAAATAAAAGTATAATTATTAATGAAAATTGTAGAGAAATCTTTGCAAAAAAAATTATAAAACAAAGAGGAAAATGAATAATTCATTTTAAAAATGAGTGTTTAAAACCAAAAAATTCATCGAGGATGAATGGGTAATCAATCAATAAGAGATGGTAAAATTATGATTGATAGCAGAACAACGAGGATGACAACGCCTTCATGGAAAATATGAAGGATACTCCGAGACAAACTTAAGGCCACGAGTTTAATTGGAAATGTTTTTTATCTGGCTGGCCAAATATTTTCATCCACTTCGTTAGGATATGGCGGATAACGTAGCGATGAAAAGTGAGAATACGAGTAGTTGAAATCACTTGGATGAGTTAGAACTAATTTTTTTCCCTCATGGGAAGAAAAAGCCTAAAAATAAATAGATAAAAACTAGTGTATACAGTAAAAATTTTGCTTGAACAATTTGTTTTCTTTATTGAAATATTAAAATTGCATAATACAGTTAAAAAATTAACAAAACCAACTAATTTTGTTATTTACAACATCAATAACACATAAATACACAAATGTTCACGTTATTTATATAAACAAAGACTAATACTAATTTTCATACTTACCTTGATTATATATCCAAAAAAAAGACGTCCATTTTTTTAAAAAAATTTTTAGGGGCTAAAATCTAACTTTTTTTTCAGGATCTTTAAAATAAGTCCATACCATAAGGGACCGAGACACAAAGGGGATAAGACACCGAAGGTGTGTGCGCTCAAGCTTTTGTCGAATCTTCATCAAAGGATGGGCGAGGATAAGGAGTAAGAGAGAAGAGAAAAAGACAGACTGAAGTGAAAGACAGACACCCAAAAAGCAAAGCATGCAGAAAAAAAGTCCCAAAAAACGCCCAAAAATCAGTTAAGGCTCATACCCAAATGCAATCATTCTATGTTCAATGTATAAACAGGCATGAAATTACATGCAAGACTTTTTTTCTTTCTTTAGTCTTGAATGTAATTTTTTTAAAAATATTACTTGTTAATTTATTATTATTGTCAAACTTCATGCATTTTTATTGATAATCCAGTCGGTAAACAGCCTTCAATTTTAATATTTAAAAAAATATATTTTTCAACTTAAAAAATATGCATCCTATAATTGTAATTTTTTGAAAATAAAATCTGAGAAATATTAGGAGAGAAAGCCGTTTTCTCGTCATGGTGCAAAGTCCGGCCTCAGCGATTTTCAAAGAGCAAGCAAAAAAAAATTTAGCAACGACGCTGAGCTGGACAGAAAAGTTCGAATCGATAAATACGGACAAGTTGTGAAATAATAAAAGGTCACGACATAATATTTCCGACTGTTTACCGGCTGGTGTGGGGAAGCTTTTGGGAAAAGCACATTCCCACGGCGGTTTTTCCCCCCCTGGGGCTTAGACAATTTCGTCAACCTTTTCGACGAAAATAAAATTTTTTCGGCCCGAGGCAGCACTTGGGTCCGCCGTGTGATGTGCTTTTTTCCAATTTTTCTGGGATTGACTTCAGTTAAGATGTCTTACCTTGATCCGAAGGGCCACCAGGTGGATAAGGATCTTCGGAGTTGTCACCTGAAGCGTTCCAACCACCTGAAAAACAAAAATAAAATTAGCACAAAAACACATTTTAGAAAGTACAAACAGAAAAAAAATTAAAATTGTCAGAATAGCAAAATTAAAAAACTACTCAACAACCCAAAACATCATCAGAAAACAAAGGCGAACCAGTAGTCGCAAATTAGTCTTTCAAACCCATTCGATCAAACCACATTTGTAACTAACTAGAGTAAATAAGTTGTGGAAAATAAAAATTCAAAACTTAAAAAGGTTGCTCGATGTATCCCTCATAATTGAAAGACGCCATTCCTTGCCTCTATATAGAGAGCGTGTAGGAATGCCTCTCGCTTAAGCACGGCACAAGTTCAACCACTGTTCCCATTTTTGGTTGAAACTAGGTTGTTTTACTGCATATAGTACTGATAGTTTTGTGTACATAGTTTGTGTTGAGTGAATGTATTTATTAGCGAGAATGTATAGTGAGAGAGTGCTGGCCTAAGTACTCCATCGTTAGGTTAGTGTCATATAATATTAATTAATAAGTTAAAATAATAGGTGTAAATGGTGATATAGGAACTTCATCGCCTTAATTGATTGTAAATAAGAAAGTAGGGCTATTCACGATGTTTGTTAGGTGTTAAATCGAATTAGCTCGAGTCGAGAAATATCCAGGAAGGTTGTGAACTCCCTCAAAGTTAAAAAGATAAGAAGAAGAAAGTTAAGAGAGTGAATGTGTTCAGAAACTGATAGCCCCTGCGGCTGGACGTCTAGGACAAGTCTGACCCTGGACTGCCAACACCCAGGGAGGGTGAGTTTCGAGGCCTACTGGTGACTGTAAAAGCTGGTGGACTGCGAGAAGTGTCTCAACTCTGTACATGCGTGTGCAGATTGGAACTTATACAAATCAGTAGGGTGATAAAAAAAAAGGAATATTGAGTATCCTATCGACTTTCAATTAGGTCTGTTATATCAAATAGGTCTAAAGAGTGATGGAGGAATATCAAGAACTCCACATCCGTACTGAGTGAACGGTATTTAAATAAGAAAGAATATATTTAAGTATTAATTAGGGGTTTGACTCTGGGAATTGATAGCGTTGGTGCTGAAATGACCTAGCTGATGATAGCACCCAGCACAACCTCACTGGCTGGCCGCAGGGCAAAAATTTGAATTGCCGGTGGACTGCGAGGAGATAAGCTCAACTCGTAAACAATGCATTGAATTTTCAACCCGAAGAGATGTCTCTCCCTATGGGAGTTCATCAACCCTGCTGTGGTATATGGTAGGTGCCTAGGAGATCGTCGCTTCCCAACCAACAGTTTCGACAGTTGGCTCATTTCAACACCCCATGTATATAACTAAAAACAACTAACATTTATAATGCATTCATACATATAAGTACACCTATTCTGATTAGACGGTGGAGTAGTCGATATCCATCGTCCTACACAACGTAATCAGCTAATCTAAATTAGGGTAGATGGAGTACTTTCATAAATATTCCGCGTCAACCCTAAACACACACGCATTGCTGGAGGGCGATTATAACCCTATATTTCATCATCAGCCCCTCACCACTCACACTAATACATACACTCAAACAAAATACATCAGATCTTTTATACAACAAAAAACCCCACGTCCTCTAAAATGCGGAACATCGGACCCTGTTCATAGACGTAATTTTTTGAAGTGTAGAATATGTTTGTACAATTTTAATTGCTTATCCGATCTGATTATCAATGAGTTCAATAAATGGATGGTTCAATAGATGGAACTGAAAATAACAAAGTGCTGTGAATTTTGGGTTCGTGTTATTTAATATTTAATCATTTGTATGATTGCAACTCTTGATGGAATTAGAGATTAAAATACGACAAATGTCAAAACCAGTGCATCGAATATTTCCCAAGTTAGACAACAGGAAGATGATACGGACAAAAATGGGACCACTTACAAATTAATGATGTGAGGAAGGGGGAAAAACGGGTCCAGGCCGAAATATAAATGTATGCGTTAAATCTAATCTTTTCCTCTTCAAAGATAGGCTTACCAAATTAAATCTAGACGCGCATTAATTGCCAATTAACATTATTTCTCGAGTAATGTACTTTCACAATTGTCGAAAATTCGATTTAACATCATAGCACGGCCGGCTGTTTGTAAAATGGGCGAATTTCTATTTCCTACAGGGACAAACAAAATTACGCCGCCGGGTCGGACTCTCGAATAAAATTTCTCAAGTGTTAAATAAGAGTTTAGTTTCGATTTCTGAAGATAGTCAAACGGGAAATAATTAGTATCTGAAAAGATAAAAGGGAGAAAAAACAGGCACCGGCCTTTTTATTGATATCGGACTCCGGTTATGAAATAGCACGGGGCACTTTGTTCGAACGGAATCGAAGCTTTATCGAATAATCATTCTCAATATTCTACAAGGATGTCAGCGTCAACAATATCAAGGAGTACATCATGCCCTCGAAGCTGATAAAACGGACTGCACCGCGGTCTACAATTAACACACAAAAAAGACACAAAAAAAAGGAGTCCCAAACAAGTGAAAAGTGTATATATGTTTGCAGAAATTTTACAAGATCTTAATAATGTAGACATGGTATGTGGTATTAAGGATACTAGGAAGCGAGATTTGTGCTCCCCAAGCACTGCAGCAATCTGGCTTATTGTACCTTCCTAGTTCCATAGTTCCGTGCAATAGACTCTTAGAAGCATCAGGTCATTGACTGTCGCTGCTACTTTTTTCAATCTCTAGATTCTTTTCGTATGTTAGATTAAATCTCTACTGAGCTGTTGCTTCGCATTCCAAGATGATATGGGTGGCTGTTTCCTCCTCCTACATTACGTAATCTGCAGATGGGATCATCGTTGTACATACCCATGTTGTGTAGATGTTTAAGCTTCTAAAGCAGCACCGAGTGCCATACCCAATCGAAGGCTGTCTTCACATCCAGTAAAATCGGACAATATGATACGGGATACCTCCACAGGGTATGAATGGTTTGGTATAGGGGAGAGAGGTAGAGATGTCAGGTCTTGTTCAATGGTTCAATTGAAATCGGGATCATTTTTCTTCGTCGGTTGTGGCCTTCATCTCGACGAGGGGATATGATATGGTAATAAGGATACTAGTAAGCAGGGTTTGTGCTCCCTACGCACTGCAGCCTTCTGGCTTATTCTTAGAAGCATCAAGTCATTGACTGTAGCTGCTACAATTTCATTCCCTAGATTTTTTTCGTATGTTAGGTTAAATCTCCATTGAGCTGTTGCTTCGCATTCGAAGATGGGTCGGCTGTTTCATCCTCCTCATTAAATAATCTTCAGATGGGATCATCGTTATATATGCCCATGTTGTGTAGATGTACTGTTTCTCAGATGCCAGTGAAGGGTCAGTAGTCCTATCATGCCCCTGAGTTTAGCCCTCTCCATTGCAAGAATGATTTTGACAGTATTGGTGAGGGTTGTTTCATCATAAGTTAACTGTGTCTAGGGCCACTAGAGTTTATCCACTTCTCCTTTTGTTTTGTTTCGATCCACTCGGCAATGGAGGATTCTGTTTGTTTTAGTTAGCCCAAGTATAGGTTCGGGCCCTATGTATGGTCTTCCAGATCCTCCTCTGGCCAGTCTTCTTTCTCGTTACCCAAAATTCCTTTTCCTGAGATATCAGGTTGCTATGTTTCCCCAGGTTTTGGATGTATTCACTGACTAAATTTGATGTGATATTTTTACTTAATAGCTGCTTGGCTATTAAATCTTATGAGGATTGTTTTGTCAGTGTAACCTCTTTTAAGATTTTCCAGGGTACAAGCGTTGATGGCATGTATTTCTGCTTGAAAGACCGAAGTGTACTTTCCCTAATGAGTTTGATTGCTCACATCTTGGGCTTGTAGAAAAACACGCGATCAGGTTCCTTCGTTTGTTTTATTGGAGTCATCTGTATACCATATCACTGATTCCGATGCTCTCCTGAGTTCTTCCTCTCCTTTATAGTCGGTTGAAACTTTATAGGATGTTGAAAAGAATGTTTCCGGGATTATATAGTCATTCCCTATTTCTAAGAATGGATGTCTGATCAGCGAAAATAGAAGGACCTAATAAAGTTCAACATTTTTGGTTGATATAACTTTCGCCTATCTTTCCTGTTTTAGTCTTAGAGTCCTTTCGGCAATTGGTCATTTTGAAGGGTATAAGCAGGGTGAGGCAATGACAGACCCCACCACCGATGACGTTGGTGAAAAGCCAAAAAGCGTCTGGCAGACCGAAATGGTAGATAAACCTTAAATCTATAGACCGTAGACCTTAAGATGAAATCTCATTTTTTTTTGTATTTTCCTCAAAGACACATCGAGATAACACATCCCGACAAAGAATAAACAATAAATAATAATATAATTATTCCAGTAAATATTGTCCAATCCGTTTCTTTTAAAAAGGAAAGTAGACTAATCAGATAGTTCGGATCGTTTGTGAAAGGTGGGTCCGCAAGATCCTGAATTTTTCTCGCGTTGTTATAATTTTTTCAAAAAAAATTTCTAATATTTTTGGAAATACATATTACATCTACGTACTTATTTTTGCAACACTAACAAGATCTTAAGTTTTTATACAAACCAATAGACTTTAAAATCTATGTCTGCTATTTTAGATTAATGGGTAAATAGAGCAAATTTAATTTCCAAATATGGAAATTTATGCATAGTTGTTCACATCTTGCTAAGATCCCAGGGATGATCACTGGGATCTCAGCATAAAGATTTTGTGAGCTGTGCATTTTTTGAACACTGCTCTTTTCAAAATGACAAATAAAATGAACAACTCTTAAACAGAAATACAGGTCGCCTTACTAAGTTAAATTACAGATAAAATCACAGTAAACCCAACAGAACTATCAAATTGTCAAAAAGACCATCTCAATATTTTGAAAATTTTGTTTTCTATTGTATAATTAGGCAAAATATCCTCAAATATTCACATTTTAGCGAGGAAAAAACGTGAAACTGATAATTTCTGAAGCTTTT